TTTTAATATATTTAATCTTGCAGTTGATCCAACAACAGCCCATTAAGTCAATGAACTTTCTACAACCCTCAGAGCTCATGCTGCAACATCCTTATGTCTTTCAGTGAGCACCCTTTCCATTTCTGTCCAGGTTGAGTGAAGCACCCTTCTCCTGCTTTCCCACCCCCTGCCCACACTACTGCAAAGCTTCCTTTCCCTTTTCATCTTTGAAATGTAATATAGAAATGTGACTACTTGGTTTCTATGAAGCTGAACTATCAGTTCTTCCTTGCTGCACAGTGTTCATCGACTTACAGAGGAACAAAAAAACCATCTGTTCTCTGCTGCTTTGGTTATTATCAGAGCTACAATGGTACCATAACAGGAGGGGGGAAAAGAAAGTGCCTGCATTAGTATGAAAGGAGGTAATTGGGGGGGGGGGATGAAATCATCCATCTGCACAAACATCTGGGACAGCAAAGGAAAGGCCTGGAGACCGGTGAGGTGGGAACAATTCCTAAAGGAAAAAGATACAGGAGCTAGTCTGGGAAGCTTGGCTTCCCTACAAGGATAGAGAAGACAAGAAGGAGAGGAATGACCAATCGGGTCTTGCAGTGACCTTAATCTGGACTGAACACCAGCCTGGCTCCTCTGGCAACCCACTGCAATCTGGAGTTTCTGAAGGTGGCTTGAAGGAAAAGCCAAGAGTGACATTGGAGTATAGACCACAGTGTGGAATTGCCCAGAGTTTTCATTTGTTTTGTCTTGAAACTACACATCATGTCCATTATGGATAGGTATTGGAGAGATGGCTAATATAGCCTGGGGTCTTCTTTGTAACACTGTTGTAGCCTGGCTAGTGGTAGCTTGGTAGTTTACTTCAGTGTGAGGCATATTATCCTGCTCAACTTCTCCTACAACACCTAGGCTCTGTCTTATAATCTCAGTGACTAACACCAGAGCAAGATGCAAAGAGGAACAGGCAACCTTTGTTTACCAGCAGAATTCTGGCCCATCATTATTGCAATTTTCTTTTGCCAACTGCTGAGAGGAGAATGTTTCCCAAAGTTATAATCATTCTGTAAACAGTAAGTGTAATTTTGCTTGACTGTATATATCTAACACATATTTGTTCCAGTAGTGTACACACATCCATCATATTTTGGGTGGGTGGAGGGTGATATTAGCATGGTACGTTAATGCTAAATTATACATCCAGAGACAATTTCTGTATGAAATTATATTACATTAGATTAAATGTTGTGGGTATCAAAACAAATGGTTATCTAACTTTCTGTTACCAATCCAATTGTGCCAGTGTGGGCGTTTATGCTTTGGACCCATACCTTCATTATATAATTATAATTCATTATATAATGAATATAATAATTATATTCATTATATAATGAATACCTTCATTATATATTCTACAACACATTATATAATGTGTTGTAGAAGGTGTACAGTACAATAGCATTTTGTATACAAGTATGGAAAGTTGCTACTTTTAAAACAATATTCCTGATTATCTAGATTCAGCAGCAATCTGGCTCAAAAATGGAGTGACTAGAACAACTGTGAAGGAGTAGGGGGAAAGACAGTAAATTTGCAGATGGAAAAGGCATTACCTTTTACATCTCTTTTTTGCAGGTTGACGTTAATGAATGGGTGTTGGAACTGTCAACTGAATTTTAAACAGCAGGGTGTGAAGTAAATGAAAACATGCATACATAACTGGGGAATCAAAGATCTTACATCAGACATTGCTATCCAGGAGAAACCATTAAGTGGGATCTGGAACACTATATGGCTTTGTGGTGAGCCTCCATAGTCCATTGGTAGCCCCAGATCAGTCTTGTCTTTTAGCTAGACAGAGGTTTGTACAGTATCTGCTGTAGCTGACTTCTGTATGAAGCAGAGTTTCTCCACTGCCTGTCTGCCTACTTACTTCTGGCCAAGGATTTTTTGCTCTCTGCTTGCTAATCCTCTCAATCCAGCAAAAAACTTGTGAGTTTTGCCATTGGCAAAAGACAGACTGGAGCAATAACCTTGGTGTTTTCAGAACTGAGGGGGGCCACCTTCTTCGTGGCTTGGTGTGATCTCAGACCTACAACACCTCCCACTGATTAATACTATGAATTTCTTCTTGGATTCTGAACTGCAGTTTTTAATGGCTGAAATGCCTCATTTCAGTGACCTTACTTGCTTCTTCCTCACCCCTTGCTTGCTGCAATATCTTGCCTTAGGAAGAGTTCTAGAGAACTCAAGAACCTGCACTCTTCTTTTGTGACCTTTTGGCTGTTCCCAAGAAAATGGAACTATGGATCTCAGATTTCTTTTTTTCACTGATCAGCATGAGTATGATTGTTTTTTACATGGACTCAGAGACATTATAGTTGAAGGGTAGGAAGACCACAGCTAGAAGTTTTTTAATGAAAGAGCTTAATGAGGCAAGGAAACACTTGATGGGAAGCTGAAGCATTGTGATTGACCTTATATAACATTGATTATTGATTAACTGCTATATTATCTGTATAATTTTCTTTACAACTTGACAAGTAGAGGTCCCTAGTATGGTGCCACCACTCCCATTTGAACCATTATCTTTATTCGGCCTCTCCATTCTATCCAATGTGATGATTCCAATCAATCTGGAAAATAAATTTATTCATTCAGTTGATTTATATCCCACTGTCCAGTTTGGGTGAGCTTGATTCAGTTTTCCAAATAAAAGCAGCTTTGGCACAAGCACAAAACCTTTTCTGAATTATCAAATTGATTCAGAGGCATCCAATTCCATTCAACTTTACATACAAATACTCAGTTTGAGTATTTCTTCTCAAGGGGTAAGGTCTTGCTCAGGTAGTATGTGGAGCTTGTTAGTGAGTTGAAACTTTTCCTGCACCCTGGATATCCTTTGGAGTTCTCTGATTTACTTTAGAACTGACCACAAGACATAGAGGTCCAGCTAAGATCTTTCTAGCAAGCCTCATACAGTGCAAAGGTGGCCTTTTCCATTCATAGTAAGAATGGCCCTCAAGAAGTAGTTGGATTACAACTCCCATCAAACCCTGAGCAATGGTGGGAGCTGATGGGAGTGGCAATCCATAAAAAAATTGTAATTGCCATGTTTGTTTATTTATTTACTCGATTTATATAGCTGCCCATCTCATTTTTATGTGACTCTAGGAGGCTTACAATAAAACAAATAAAAACACAAAATGCATAATATAAAACAAAAATAAAAACACATAGCAGCTAGGCACAATCTAATCCAGTGTTTCTCAACCTTGGCAACTTTAAGATGTGTGGACTTCAACTCATGGCTGGCTGGGGAATTCTGAGAGTTAAGTCCACACATCTTAAAGTTGCCAAGGTTGAGAAACACTGATCTAATCCATCATCCATACAACCAGGAGACTGGCTCTAACTCACACCCAGGGCCCCAAGCTCAACCACAAAGCCAGGTTTTCAAGGCCTTATGAAAGCCCATCAGGGATGGGGCCAATATAATCTCAGGGAATGGTGCTTCAAAGGGCAGGTGCCATAGCAGAAAAGGCTCTCCCTCTGGGCCCCACCAGCCATCACTCCCTACCCAGATATCCAATCAGATTAGATTGGTAGAAACCTGCTTTATGGGATAGGAAACCTTAATGAAATAAGGTGCTCTTCCGTTACCTTTATATTATAAGCATTGGACACTTAATAGAAGTTGACTTTTGGAGTGGATGGGGACCTACTGGTTTTATTAGTTCATGCTATGATCGATATGTTAATGCACTGGTAGAAGTCATCATCTTTGACTGCTATCATTGTATTGTTTATTACTGTTAATTTTAACAATCTGCCATCCCTTTGAACTGAGGTGTGATTAAGGGCATAAATAAATGAAGTGCAATAGCATGGGTTCAATTTAACTTTTTAAGAGTGATATCATGAACATTTAGCAGTAAATTTAGTTTACTTACTAATAGAAGAGTTTACTTAATAGTTCACTTAGTGGTTTCTTTAGTAGTTTCCTTAGTTTCCTTAGAGGTTGAGGTCCAGTCTGATAAGAGTGGACCTCAACTGATAGGAAATCAACACTGTGAGGAATGGTTGAAGTAGCTAGGCGTGTTGCAAATGCGGCTAAATGTAAACATGATAGTGGTCTGCAAATATCTCAAAGTTCGACATAGGCAAAAGAGTTCATATTTATTCTCTCTTGAAAGGACCAGGACCAGTAAGTTGACATTAAAAGAAAAAACTTTCAGGCTGAATATTAGAGGAACGTTCTGATGATAAGAGCTGTGGAATAGTGGTGGACTCCTTTTCACTGGAAGGTTTCAGATGGACATTAGATGATCACCTGTTGAGGATGGCTCTGTGGATTCCTGCTATGAGCAGGAAGTTGGACTAGTTGATGTGTAAGGCCCCTTCCAACTTAAACTTTCTATAATTTAATAATCTAGAATCATATCCTTGCCCAGCCAATCAGTGGCAGAGGGCCCTGAAGCAACTGCACAAGAGCGCCGTATAGGATCTATACAAAAGAGAACAGCCTACACTTTCTCCAGAGTTCTCATGGCAGCTATGGCTAAACCAGAGGCCACTAATTGGAGGGGGCATTGCAAAAGAAACCAGCCAATCCCAAACTTGCAACATCTTCAGGATAGGTATAAAACCACCTTGGCAAATTTAGCAAATGGGGACTGCAAGGGAGAAGTCAAACCTCTTTCTTGGAGGATGTTTTGCACCAGTTGTGAAGTGTGGATATCTGATCCTGGAAGAGAGAAGCAATGTTCCTTCTGTGTGGGCAATTCTCCTATTTCAGGCCCTGAGCATTTAAGAGTGCTGAGTTAATGTTTAAACCCGAGCATGGGTTGGGGTCAAGCCTCACCTATTGCTATGTGTTTGCCTGTCTCTGGACCTTTGCTTTATCTCTGCCAGGCCAAGGATGCCTGCTCCCTGACCCTTGCATGGCAATTAATCATTGATCAAGAAATTTGGAGGAAAGCAGTATATAAATAAAGGGGTTTGCTCATCAAGCCTCCGCTTGCGAAGCAGCCATAGAAAGCAGACCTCAATCACACGACAATCCGGTGTGATTGCAAGGGAACTAAAATGAAGGCAGGGATCGTAAGCATCTTGCTGCTCCTGATCTCATGTAGTCATGGACTTGAGAGAGGTACGATTTATATTTATCCTGAAGGTGGGTCGGGTGGCCAGACACACTCACATGCACTGTATTTATGTATTATTTATTCATATATCAAATTTATATAGCCACCCATCTCATGTAAAATGACTCTGGGAGGCATACAACAATGAATAAAACAATAAACTTATGAAAAGCAGTCATCATTAAAAAATTTAAAAGGCACAAGGTGCAAGAGAGATTAGATGTTAACCGCCATACTGGAGCTACCTCAAGATCTCACGCGTGCTGTATTGATGCTCCGAGATGATACACTTTGATTCTCTCTGATAAAAAGAAAAAGAGGGTGATTTTCCTAGCCATCATAGAACAGGCAGAAATGTGGACAGAAACACAATTTGTCTGCTGCTGTACAGTAATTGGAGTTGAATGGGTTGGTAAGCTGCATACTTTTGGCTTTTGTTTGGTAGCGAGAGAAGACTGGTTATTGTACGCTGGAATAAAATAAAATATTCGGCCAAATCTATCAGTGCTCCACCCCGCCAGGGCTCTTGTTCTGTCTCAGATTTTGATTTGTTTGGTACAAACATGGGAAAAAGAAATGAGACTTTTGTGCCTTTGCTCAAACACGCTCCCCAAGGGTTCCCCAGACTAGCAAGGAGACCTGTAGAAATGCTATCCTTTGCTCAGAGACACCAATAAATGTTGAGCTAAATGTTGGAGATTTTGACTTCAGCAAATTCATCCTTGTTAGAGGATATGCTTCTGAGTATATGAGCTAAAGGAATGCCCAGTCATTTAAGTAGCAGAACAATACAGTAAAAGAAAAATGCTCCTAATATAGTCGTCTTGGATCCTTGGTATGGTCTTCCTTACTACCAAGGAATGCTAAAAGGCATTCATTATATCTGAAGTAAAAGGTAGATTTATTAGGAATACCTTGGCAAGGAAGCCTCGCCAAACTAAACTAAATTAAACGATATCTTCAAGAGAGGGAAAGACCAGAGGGAGACAAGAGGCAAGAAGTTCCATTAAGAGTCAAAATTTGCTTGAGATTTGTTTTACTAGCGATAGATCAGGTGAGCAACGACCACTAGGATGGTATGTAAAGAATGTTCTCCTTATCTGTCTATTGCCATTTGCAGTCAAAAGAATCATAGGTGCAACAACTTGATGCAGTTTTCCCACAATTATTCTACTGCTCCATTCCATGCTGTCTTCCTGCTCATTAATTCTTAATCCTTCTTCCTAAAGAGAAGCAAAGAAAGAAACGGTTTGCAATTGCTCTCCATTGTTGGGGTGGATTTTCAACCATTTTCCATCCCAGATGTAATTATAGTCTAGAAGTACAGAAAGGCAGGTTCCAATTGAAGGTTTGCAGAAACTTCTTGAAAGTAAGAGGAATTCATCAGCTAAAGCAAATCCAATTGCTGGAAAAAAAGCATAGAAGAGGACAACTGAAGTGATGGGGGACCCAAAATACCTTCCTTCTGAGCAAAGGACAGAACTGGGGGGGGGAGGAGGGGGAAGCAACTCATAGTCATAGTTGTGTAATGGAAAATGGGTGAACATTCTCCTTCTCACTCTTCTTAATAAACCCCAAAGCTTTTCCAGAGCTTAAGGACTACAAATTACCTGGTAATTAATATTTCCACTACACTGGAGTTAAAGCAGTCCTGGCTCTGTCAATCCTCTAATTGGCATATTTTTGATGTGATAAATGGAAAGTCATCCTAAAAGGGGTTCAAAGCCACAGAAAGTTCTGAGAAATAATACTGATCAACTCCACAGCAGAGTGGGAAAAAACAGGGGACTAATGAGTGTCATGCAGTTTGCCCTTTTTCGACCCGCCTGCCACCCAGGCTTCAAATGAATCAGCATTCACTTTTTCTGAGAACAGGTGTTGGGAATGACAATAGCATCTTGATCTCCAATTTTCCCCCCTGCCTCTCCATTATGAGTGATCAAGGCAGTTTTGCAATGCTTTCATTATGACTCAGCGCAATGTGGTTTGTTTGATGAGAAGCAAAGTACATTAGTTCTTGGCGCAGGTTGGTTTTCAGGGGAAAAGAGTCAAAATGGCAAGCTATGCCTTGCTTGCACCTCCTCCGTTTCCATTTGTTCTGTTACAATTTACTAGTGATGGACCCTGACTGTAAGGGATGTCAACTAAGCTGACCTTTATTCTCCACGAAAGGAAAGAACAGATTTGGGGGCTGAGTTAAAATCTGTACGTCAGAGTGGCTTATAGGAATTTAGAATTTGGCCAAGCCAGATCAAAGACAGCGATCTATTTGCTTGTTTGTGGAGTTAGGTAACTGATTTCTGGATGGCTTTTTAGCTGTGAATCTAAACTGCCAAGTGACACCTACCATCAAATTAGACAAATTAGGTAGAAAAAAATCAGTTGTTCTGTTTGGGAAGATATATTGAGCATTTTTGTGGGAGGGAGGGAGGGAGTTCCTCAGGTTTTTAATGGGTTGTGAGAACTGCAAGATTGGTGTCAGCCCTTCAAGGCGGTCCAGACCAGGAAACCAAAGTTATGAATCCTGTAATTTTTGTTGGTCACACAGTCAGCCAGATGTTTAGACTGGATTTGGCATTTTTGTCCACTTATCAAGCCCTTCCCAAGGACCTGGGATAGGCAGATGTTGTTGTTTGATGGTGTTAAAGGTATCGTCACAGGATGGAAGCTGTTCCAAGTCAAGCTGCCTTGTGCAATTGACTGATGGCCATTTTGTCAATGCCGATGGTCTTCAAGGGGTGCTCCAGATGTTTTGGGATTGCATCCAAGGCACCTATTACTATTGGGACTATCTTTGCTT